TGGAGACTAGGACGCGGAACAATGGCTTCAAACTACAAGAGAGGAGATTTCATCTGAACATGAGAAAGTACTTCCTGACTGTGAGAGCCGTTCAGCAGTGGAACTCTCTGCCCCGGAGTGTGGTGGAGGCTCCTTCTTTGAAGCTTTTAAACAGAGGCTGGATGGCCATCTGTCAGGGGTGATTTGAATGCAATATTCCTGCTTCTTGGCAGGGGGTTGGACTGGATGGCCCATGAGGTCTCTTCCAACTCTTTGATTCTATGATTCTATGTGGGTGGAGGATAGAGCTAACATGTAAATGTCATACAGCAGCGATGAAGATAAGAACGATTTACCATTAAGGATTTGGATATAACAATCGTAATGTGCTTGAGGACAAAATCTTTTTTGGGAGGGAGGGGGGGTCCTAACTGGGGCCAGCTGTCCAAGGAATTCCAAGCCAAAAGCACAACAGAGCATCCATGTCTTTAAGTCCTTATGGAAGGTGCTAGCCTGATTTCCTTGAGGAGGGAGTTCTAGAGCCAGGGCACCACAACCGAGAAGGCCCTTTCTCTCATCCCCGCCAGCCGTGCCTAAGACTGAGGTGGAAATGAGAGAAGAACCTCCCCAAAGGATCTTAAAGAGCATATGGGTTCATAGCAGAAGATGCAGTCATGTAGACAAGCAGATCCCGGACTGTTTAGAGCCTTATAGGTGATGATCTGCACCTTGAATTGGGACCAGAAACTTATTGGCAGCCAGTGGAGCTGTTTAAATATGGGGGTTGACTGCTCCCTTTAACTTGCTCCAGTTAACAATCTGGCCACCAACCTTTGCACCAACTGCAGTTTCTGGGCCATCTTCAGGGGCAGCCCCATGTAGAGTGCATTACAGTAATCCAACCTTGTGGTAACTAAGGCATGGACCACCACGGTCAAGTCAACTTGGAAGAAAAGAGGTCTGAATATTATAAGGTGAGATCATACAATCACAGAATCATAGAGTTCGAAGAGAGCTCATGGGCCATCCAGTCCATCCCCATTCTGACAAGAAGCAGGAAAAACACATTCAAAGCACCCCTGACAGACGGCCATCCAGCCTCTGTTTAAAAGCCTCCAAAGAAGGAGTCTCCACCACACTCCGAGGCAGAGAGTTCCACTGCTGAACAGCTCTCACAGTCAGGAAGTTCTTCCTAATATTCAGGTGGAATTTCCTTTCCTGAAGTTTGAAGCCATTGCTCCGCATCCTAGTCTCCAGGGCAGCAGAAAACAAGCTTGCTCACTCCTCCCTATTTATACCACATCCATCTAAATGACAGGTCTGGGAAATTCTTCAAGCCAACCAGTGATGGGACTAGGATTTATACCCTTTATTGTGATGAGGTTGCTGTTGTTATAGAATCACCACAAGCCAACTTGATTGTGACTTACCGTGACCCAATTACAATATCTTGGCAAGATTTATTCCAAGATGTATTGCCATTGCTCTCATCTGAGGCTGAGAGTATGCCATTTGCCTCTCCTCCCAACACCTTTCCCTTCCCCTCTTCATAAGCTCAGTCTCTTCCTCGGTTGCAACTAGAATGGCAGAGCAGCCCTGACTGTGAGTGGTTTTGCATGCTCTTACCTTTCCAGCATAGTGTTTAAAAATTTCTTTAATCTTGCTGTTTTCTTTAGTACTGCGTGGTATCTCCACCTTGGAAGAAAAGAGGTTTGAATATTATACAAATATCATATTGAGGTAAACAATTTCCAGCTGCTTTCCCAAAGCATCAGAGACCCAGGGCAGATTCCCCCAACCAGTTAGGAATTCTATGTGGCCTTGGTGACAACAATTCAGCCTACAAATGATGGCATAATGCAGTGCTCTTCCACTAAGGATAAAACTCTCTTAACACACAGAAAACCCAGTATCAGGAAGAAGGTTTGAGCCAATATTCTCTGTGACATGTTAGCTTTCTCCGTACAGCAGTGGTTCCCAAACTATTTTTTGACCAGGAACCACTTTAATCAGGGACCACTTTGACTAGGGACCACTTTAACCAGGGACTACTTCACCAAGGACCACTTGGGCCAGGGACCATTTGGACTAGGGATCACTTGGGCCAGCGACCATTCTCCAACACTAGTACCAAAAGGGTTCCGAATCAGTTTTTGGCTGGGTTATTTGGGGTGCTGATCCAGAAAACTGCATTGGATAGACCACATCAGCTCTAGTTTCTGATACAGGACATATGCCATCCAGTAGTTGCCGTCTGCTCCAATTCTGGGCACCACAATTCAAGAGAGATATTGACAAGCTGGAATGTGTCCAGAGGAGAGCGACTAAAATGAAAAGGTCTGGAGAACAAGCCCTATGTGGAGTGGCTTAATGAGCTGGGCATGTTTAGCCTGAAGAAGAGAAGGCTGAGAGGAGATATGATAGCCATGTATAAATATGTGAGAGGAAGCCAGGGAGGAGGGAGCAAGCTTGTTTTCTGCTTCCTTGGAGACTAGACGCGGAACAATGTCTTCAAACTACAAGAAAGGAGATTCCATCTGAACATGAGGAAGAACTTCCTGACTGTGAGAGCCGTTCAGCAGTGGAACTCTCCGGAGTGTGGTGGAGGCTTCTTCTTTGGAAGCTTTTAAACAGAGGCTGGATGGCCATCTGTCAGGGGTGCTTTGAATGCAATATTCCTGCTTCTTGGCAGGGGGTTGGACTGGATGGCCCATGAGATCTCTTCCAACTCTATGATTCAATCTATGATTCTACAGTATAGGCTTTTGATCCTTGGACTTCACTCATTGAACTCTTGGTGTTTGACTACTGGACTGGACCTTTTGACTACGTTGTTCCTCCAAACCTTCATGGGTGTTTGCTATCAGTTTTTGTTTTATATTCTGTGTCTCAGTGCTATCTTTATGTTTTATATTTGGACTCTGGAAGCATCCACAGTGGTTCTCAACCTGTGGGTCCCCAGGTGTTTTGGCCTTCAACTCCCAGAAATCCTAACAGCTGGTAAACTAGCTGGGATTTCTGGGAGTTGTAGGCCAAAACACCTGGGGACCCACAGGTTGAGAACCACTGAGCTAGACAGTTAGTGCTGCTTTAATTAAACAGCTTGACACCAGCTGGGTGTTTGTTTTGGTTCACCTCTGCCTGTGTACTGGCAGAGCCATGGCAATGTGACAGAAAACTATATTTAATAATTTAGAGTTGATGTGGTCTATCCAATGCAATTTTCTGAATCAGTACCCCCAAATAACCCCAGGAACAGGCCTCTGAAAGCAGCTAGACAGTAAGTGCTGCTTTAATTAAACAGCTTGACACCAGCTGGGTGTTTGTTTTGGTTCACCTCTGCCTGTGTACTGGCAGAGCCATGGCAATGTGACAGAAAACTATATTTAATAATTTAGAGTTGATGTGGTCTATCCAATGCAATTTTCTGAATCAGTACCTCCAAATAGCCCCAGGAATAGGCCTCTGAAAGCAGCTAGACAGTAAGTGCTGCTTTAATTAAACAGCTTGACACAAGCTGGGTGTTTGTTTTGGTTCACCTCTGCCAGTGTACTGGCAAAGCTCTGGCAATGTGACAGAAAACCATACTTAACAATCTAAAGCTGATGTGGTCTATCCAATATGATTTTCTGAATCATCACCCCCAAATAACCCCAGGAAGAGCCCTATAAACAAAAACACCAACCCCCCCCCCCCTTCCAGGCATCACATAGAGCGGCTCTGCTCAGTGGGAGGGAGGAGGAGGAGAAGCAGCAGCAAGGAGGCTTGTTGTTGCGCTTTTTGTGGGTAGTCAGCCTCTCCCCTCCCGACATCCCTGTTGCCTCGGCACTATAAGAGAGTTTCGTGAGACCAGTCACTCTAGTAATGGTGAGGCTGCGGGCCATATTTTAATTCCACGGACCACAGGTTGGGAACCACTGCTGTTTAGCAAGTACTTTGCATAGAGAAGAACTAAAGTAATATACCCAAACATATATTTACCACTCTCATGAGAACTATCTATAAGTGTCGTAAATAAATAAATATCTTTTTTGTAAATGTGAAATCATTAAGTTCTTTTTTCAGCTCCTCATGGGAGGATGCTTGAACGTACCGGAGGTAATCAGAGAAAATCATCGTTCTTTTAACTACTTTAAATTTGTAGGACTTTGTATTGTTGAAGGCTTTCATGGCCAGAATCACTGGGTTGTTGTAGGTTGTTGTAGGTTTTTCAGGCTATATGGTCATGTTCTAGAAGCATGCTCTCCTGACGTTTCACCTGCATCTATGGCAGGCATCCTCAGAGGTTGTGAGGTCTTTTAGGACTTTATCTCTCTCACACTTTCAGGGAATCTAAAAATGCATTTTAGAGCTTTTGAGATTAGCAGGTCTTGTGAACTTTTATTGCAGACTAGATTTGGTGGAAGTCAACGTCCTCACAATACTACCTGGAGGCAAACATTTGAATATATAATAATATGCACCAAGCCACAAGAAATAATAATAAAATATTGCAATGAATATCAGAACAAGCCATACATACATAAAGTGCTTTCTTCTCTGCGTAGATTTCACCACAAATTTCCCTAGAAAACAATTTTACGTTATTTAGAAAAGCCTTTTTTCAGGTATCATCAACAAAGAAGTAGAAATAGAAGATATAATTCTCAGATTGGGATTCACCATTACTCTGAAACTGAAGCTTCAATTAAGCCCGTAGTAGTGCAGCAACTTCAATGTGGAAAAATACGGGAAAATATCCCCCCCCCCCCCAAACTTAGTCTTATATGAGTTCTGGGCCTTTAATTGCAATGGTTCTGACTCAGTATCAAGCTATCTCCTCTTGGAAGGACCTGCTTGGACCTTCAAGTAGCTTAGTAGCTAGGGAAAGATATCCTGACAGTTTAAGAGCAATCTATGGGACAGCTGATCTGAGGAATGGACTTAATGGCTGTTAGGAATTGTGGGAGTTGAAGTCCAAACACCTGTCAAGTAAATTCATCAGTATCCTTTTCTACATAAGACTACGGCAACTTAGGAACTCACAAGCACTCATGGTTTGCCTCAGTAAAGATGCGGAGGATGAAGTCACCCTCTTCATCAGCGAATTCGGTGGAAGGGATGAGGAGGTAATCTCCAGGAGTTAGCTGGAATTTCTGTGTGAGGGCCCTTGACCCATCATGATCACTGGCTTCATCAGCATATCTGAGACCAGAGAGCAGTTGGTCATCTTGGGTTGTAGTCAGCAGCTGTAGATCCTGGAGGGGGAAAAAAGGTCCAGGAGCGAGGAAAACCATTCTCAGTCCTATCATGCTAATGGCACACAAAGTCCTATCATGTTAAGGTCCACAAAGGCATGCTTTCGAGAGTCCCTGGTGGCATAGCGGGTTAAAGCGCTGAGCTGCTGAACTTGCTGACCAAAAGGTTGTAGGTTCAAATCTGGGAAGCAGCGTGATCTCCTGCTGTCAGCCCCAGCTTCTGCCAACCTAGCAGTTCGAAAACATGCAAATGTAAGCAGCTCAATAGGTACCGCTCCTGCGGGAAGGTAACGGTGCTCCATGCAGTCATGTTGGCCATATGACCTTGGAGGTGTCTATGGACAACGCCGGCTCTTCAGCTTAGAAATGGAGATGAGCACCAACCCCCAGAGTTGGACACAACTGGACTTACTTTAACCTTTGAGAGCATAAAACTGCTGCCAAGGGAAATTCTCTTCCCAGTTCAAGCAGCTTCACCAAGTAATTTGGTTAAGATCCCAACAAGAGGATTTATGGCTCCTTTATTATCACTATGATCCTCATAATTATCAGCAGGGGCGGCTCAACCCATTACACAAAGTAAGCATTTGCAGTATAGTTGATTTTGCCCAGGGCTGCTCTTGAGGTGCTCTTGGGGGGAAATAGACCTTGACATATGTGAGTTGTAGTTACAGAGATGTATAGTTCACCTACAATCAAAGAGCATTCTGAACTCCACCAATGATGGAATTGAACCAAATATGGCACACAGAACTCCCACGACAAACAGAAAATATATATCAGTGATTGGTTGGGGGAGGGGGGGGGCGCCAAAATACTGTTTGCTTACCATTGAAAATTACCTAGGGCCACCTCTGATTATCAGTTTGCCAACTATTATGTGAATCTTTTTATAAGCTGTACATTAATTGAAAACATACAATTAATGGCATGTTATACGAGAGTTGAATAAAAAGTAATTTTTCGACCTTTGTAACTTCTCAACAAATGGCAATACTGGTATGCGGCAGGTACTGGCTTGTTCAGTAGACTCTCCTCTAGAGTTCCATTTTGGCGGGAAGCCTTAGTATAGAACGGTTGTGTTGTTAAAGTGCGAAGTATGGAACCCTGCACAGATGGTTGGTCAATGCGACTTAAGCAACACACAGTCATTGAATTCTTGACAGCAGAAGGTGTCACCTCAACATCTTTAAACTTACTTGCCCATCGACACACAGTACTCACATGAACACAATCACTATAAGCAGTTTGCATTCTCTGATGAATCTTCTTTGGGGTGACACATTCTGCTGTTGAGAATTAAATGAGTGCTTTTAACTTACAGTTGGTGGGATGATGAGAAAAGAGAATGTCAGGTGAAAACCAGTGGGATAATTACCTTTTGAGATACTTTTTCGGACACCTGCAAGACAATATTGGATGGAGAAGAGATTACTTCAGAGCAAGTAAATGCAGACAGGCACAATCAAAAACACTTCCATGACAACTATGACTCTGGAGGCAAAGCTCACCTAAGGCAGTGGTTCTCAACCTTCCTAATGGTGCAACCCTTAATACAGTTCCTCATGTTGTGGTGACCGCCAACCATAACATTACTTTCATTGCTACTTTACAACTGTAATTTTACTACTGTTATGAATTGTGATATAAATATCTGATAGGAAGGATGTATTTTCATTCACTGGACCAAATTTGGCACAAATACCCCATATGCCCAAATTTGAATACTGGTGGGGTTAAGGGGGATGTTTGGGAAACTGGTGGAGTTTGGGGAAAACAGACCTTGACATGTGGGAGTTGTAGTTGCTGGGATTTATAGTTCACCTGCAATCAAAGAGCCCCTTGAACCCCACCAATGATAGAATTGGGCCAAATTTCCCAAGGAACTTGGTGGCGTGAGCCTCCCTTCGACCTCGCACGCTCTCCCTTGCCTGCACATGTGCACCACACTGCCATGTGCCTTGCATGCCTGCTCTCCCGTCCCCACTTGGAATCTCAGAAACAGCCCTTCCCTTGGCTGAGAGGCTGGCCAATCACAGCAAGAGGAGGGCTTTTTGTGGGAGGATTCTACCTCTGTTTCCAAAAAGGAAGAGAAGGACAGGCAGAGAGATCTTCAGCCTTCTCTGCCAAAGGGGCTCCTAAGACCATAAGAAATATATGCTTTCTGATGGTCTTTGGTGACCCCTCGGAAACCCCCTCACAATCACCCCCTCCCCCGGTTGAGAAACGCTGATCTAAGGTATGAAGTGATTAGAAGACATACAACAGGAACTATTATTAAGGATACATTGGATTTATCTATTTGAGCCCAACTCCCAAGAAGTGTTGTCCAATGAACCATCCAATCAAAATGGGTTTATTAAGAAGTAGTTGCACTGTATTCAGTGAGCTACATTAACTCGGTAGCCTGGTTTGCTATCCTACCCTTTCTTCCCTCACCAGGAACAAATATTGCCAGGAAAAAATACTGAAGCGATGCTCCTAAGCCATGTTGTCCGAATGCCCAATCATCATCTCCCAAAGCAGTTACTGTACTCCCAAGAATGGGAAACGTAACATTGGTGGACAGGAAAAGAGATTTAAAGAAGGGCTTAAAGCCAGAGAATTGGGAAGCCCTGGCCTTTGAGCACTCTAACTGGAGGTCAGTTGTGACCAGCAGTGCTGCGAAATTCAAAGAGGTGCGAATGGAGGTTGAAAGGGAGAATCGTGCCAAGAGGAAGGCGAGTCAAGCCAACCCTGACTGGGACCACCTTCCACCTGGAAACCGATGTTCTCACTGTGAGAGAACATGCAGATCAAGAATAGGGCTCCACAGCCACCTACGAACCCACCGCTAAGACACTAGACTTGGAGGACCATCATCCTCGGGCTACGAGGGATCACCTAAGTAAGTACAAATATTTCAAGAGTAAGAAGAACAGAAACAGGAAGGTATATGAAGGCAATACAGCAAAGGGGGCAAGAGGCTTGAACCATGGCCTTCTTAGAAGAACGTTTTGAGTGGGGCCTGACATTTTTATTTAATCTCCTCTTCCTGCCACAAACTCTACTGATCAATCTAATGCTAGCTACACAATTAATCCTGAGGTTCATCTGCCCACAGCTGGTCTCATACCTGGAAGATGTAGAAGAAGAGCTTCCTCCTCTGGTTGCGTGTACCCCGGCTTTTCTGCACCAAGGAGATTGCACAGCTATACTTTTGGAGTTCAGATTCCTTTCCTGGGTCATTTGGCTTCCTCAATGAAAATAAGAATCGAGGGTTGCTCCAGAAGGTTTCTACACAATGAAGAAGGCAAGAGTCTCAAAATCAGGTCTATATCCATTGGGTTATCCAGACATACTTGAAAATGAACAAAATTTGGCAACCTGTATTAAAAAAAACCCCTCTAAATCATAACAGTAAATAAAGACAGGGGAGCTTCAGTCAAAAAACAACCAGGGACAGCTAATCGCCTCTCAACAAAGGATGCCCCCAGGCAGTAAGACGCCAGACCTTGAAAACTCCTAGGCCATTAAATGCTAATCAAGGTGGTCAATTGAAACATTCACACCTCCAACAGATAAGAGTTCTTTCTCCCATCCTGGACATTCCTCAGATATATAAACCCAATTTTCCTAGTTTCCAGCAGATCTCACAACCTCTGAGGATGCCTGCCATAGATGCAGGCGAAACATCAGGAGAGAATGCTTTGGGAACGTGGCCATATAGCCCGAAAAACTTACAGCAACCCATACTTGAGATTTTGTAGGATTCCACTGCAGTTCCCTTTCTAAAATTGCCTGCTCTGTAACTTAAGCAAAGTTCTTAAACAAAGGCAGATGGTGCGTCCGGACTGAATGTGTTTTCAGAGTATATACCACTCTAACATTCTGTATTTTGTCACAGGTCACATGCAGCCCCCAAAGACATTATGAGGCACAAGCACCACCCAAATTAATATCCTTTTTTTTAAATGGTTAGAATCACCCCTCTATTAATTCCCAAGGTGATGGAAGGACAATATTGCCAGCATCCCATCCCATCCCTCACCACTTAAATTCTGTTTCAGCTCCTGTTTGGAAAGGATTGTGGGGATTTGTAAAAAGGCAACCTTCAACATGATGTAATGGGTTGACTGGAAAGGCAGCTGATTGGCTGAGCATGCCAGGAGCCAGAATTCTGATTGGCTACTGTCTCTAGCTTGCTGCTGAGAGAAACTGTTTCAACTGCCACTTTCACCTTGGAGACTGAAGAGAGTGCTGACTGGAAACAGCCAGGAAGGAAATGGCTGCCGACTCTCTGAAGCCTGATCATTTCTAAGGCATAAAACATGTTTTAAAGACTGTGTAAAATGACTATTTATTCCCTCTCTTCTCTGTATGAATCCCCCCCCCCCCGGCTACATGCCTGCTCCAGGGGCATTCTGTGCTATAAACATGCAAAACAACAAACAAACAAACAATTTTAAGTGCTGCATAGGGATGCATGTTTTTGTTCATGCGATAACACTTAGTTATAGTTCTGTGTACAGCTCTCACTCTCAACTTCCACAATCATCAACAATGAACTTCAACCAACTTTGAGTCGTATTGCCGCCGGAAGTTTCCTTGGTCCAGGCCCCTTCAATATTGGTAGTTTTCCAAAACGTTTGGACTCCCTCCTTGTCAAATGAATTGATGCTTAAGTAACAGATATCCACAGTCGCAAAATTCGTTGTAAAATCATCCAGTTCTATCCTAGTTAAGCAGAAGCAAAGCAGAGAATATAGAAATGTAAATTACTGATGGAACATGATGTTTCTTCAGGCCATAAATTCATCGTAACCATATGAAGACCCACATAGATTGATATATGAACACATGCTTTAAATAAGTAATCATCTCATAACAGCATCACATGCTATGGGCATTGTGCATCTAGATTACACATGCTTTCATAGTACAGTAGAGTCTCGCTTATCCAACCTTCACTCATCCAATGTTCTGTATTATCCAACACAGTCTGCCTCCCTCCTGGATCTACTGGTGTTTCAATACATTGTGATGTCTGGATGCTAAATTCCTAAGTACAGTAATTACTACATAACGTTACTGTGTATTGAACTGCTTTTTCTGTCGATTTATTGTAAAACATGATGTTTTGGTGCTTAATTTGTAAAATCATAACATAACTTGACGTTTAATAGGTTTTTCCTTAATCCCTCGTTATTATCCAACATTTTCACTTATCCAACATTCTGCCGGCCTATTTATGTTGGGTAAGCAAGACTCTACTGTATATACTTGTTCTGGTAAAGCTGTACCAGGAGCTCCAACTTTATTTGCTTTGTATTAAATGTTTGATTGCAGTCCTAGGTTTCAGGGACTCTGCAGATAGGTGGCTTCTTTTGGTTGCAGTCATAGGGCAAGTCACCTGTCCGTCATTGTTAAGTTTTGGTCCCGCCCCTTGCTCAGGGCAATTGGGAAGGGAAGGGATCCATTTTTAGTTAGTCTCAGCAAGGTAAACTTATGTATAGGATGTGTGCAAGCTTCCCCTGTACAAAAGCTTCAACCTTTGAGAATTTACAGGAAAACAGCCCTAAAGACCAAAGAACTCCAGCTGGAGAACATCTAAGCCTTTACTGGTAGGTCCACTCGGAGTTCGAGAAGCAGTTTGACCCGGTGGCGGAGCCCACATCAGTAAGGGTTAGATTACAGTCAGCCTGGGAGAAGTTAAAAAGGGGATTTTCCTTTAAAGAAGAAGTTATTGAAGACAGTTGCCTGTCCTTTGTGGGCAAGGTTAGGAATTCACCAGTTGCCTAAAAGCTTGGAATCATTTGCTTAACTTTACTGAAGACAAGAGAAGTTTCTGTTTGATTGTTCATTAATGAAAGACTTTGTTGTACTTCTCAAGCCATCTAAAGACTGTTTGTGGTGGAAACCTCTGAGAACTTCTCTTTAGGCCCCCTGGCTTCCCTCTGGGCAAAGGTTGCACATCCTGTTCTAAAGACAATTATTTACAGGCCCAGCGCGCGACAGAACAATACTGCTCTAACATCCTGTAATTAGTCTGCAGAAGGGAAGGCTGAGAGGAGACATGATAAGGGTCATGTTACCCTTCTATTCTGCCTTGGTCAGACCACATCTGGAATCACACTATGTCCAATTCTGGGCACAACAATTTAAGGGAGATGTTGACAAGCTGGAATGTGTCCAGAAGAGGGCAACCAAAATGATCAAGGGTCTGGAAGACAAGTCCTATGAGGTGCAGCTTAAAGAGCTGGGCATGTTTAGCTTGCAGAAGAGAAGGCTGAGAGGAGATATGATGTATCAAGAGGTGAGGGGAGGTCATAGGGAGAAGGGAGCATGCTTGTTTTCTGCTGTCCTGGAGACTAGGATGTGGAACAATGGCTTCAAACTGCAGGAAAGAAGATCCCACCTGAACATTGGAAAGAACTTGTTCACTGTGAGAGCTGTTCAGCAGTGGAACTCTCTGCCCTGGAGTGTGGTGGAGGCTCCTCCTTTGGAGGCTATTAAACAGAGGCCGGGTGGCCATCTCTCGAGGGTGCTTTGAATGCAATTTCCCTGCTTCTTGGCAGAACGGGGTTGGACTGGATGGCCCACGAGGTCTCTTCCAACATCTATGATTCTATGAATGTTTGTGAATTTGTTTTCCTTTCCTTTCTGTTCTGAAATGTATCAGACCCAAATGTGACCTTCATGCTCACTCCTACAACGCTTTAATGTTCTATACCAGTGGTTCGAAACTTTTTTTTTTGACCGGTGACCATTCTCCAACATTAGTACCAAAAGGGTTGCCAATCAGTTTTTGGTCAACTTTAGATGTGGTGTGGGATGGCTGGGTGGCCATCTGTAGGGGTGCTTTGATTGTCCCTTTCCTGCATGGCAAAAAGGGCCTGGACTAAATTGTGGTCTCTTCCAACTATAGGATGCTATGATTCTATGACTCATGCAATCTTTTGCCTCACCTGTATAGCAGAAGAGCTTATCCCATTTCTGGATGGCTCTTTCTTCATTGGTAGAGATTTACAAAGTTTAGGTCACAATATCTAATGCTTATGTTAAAGAAATATTAGGATGCATCTGCCAAGGATTTGCTTCCAGTGCCCAACCATATTAGAGAATGTTTACCAGAATTCCCCATCTTCTTCTTGAACGTTCAGTTCATTCCGGACTGCAGGATCCAGGCTGGACCATTTGTCTGACCTGAAATCAGAAAAGCAAAAATATGTGATTTGGTATGATCCTAATAACCAAGACTATTTATTAGGCCTGCCACATTTTTGTGTAGAAAATAAAACTTTCAAATGTTCCCTACACCAAGGGTTGCCAAGTGTCCCTTCTTATAAAAGATGTCTTTGTGATGGCACACCCAAGCCTTTGGGAAAACTATACTGTCTAGCTTTACTCAGGGGCTATCTGTATACCTTCTGTTAAGACCTTTAGCAGAAAGAGGCACTTTAGGCAAGGTGAAAAGATAACCAAAATGAGTTTACTGAAACAAGATGAATAAAGAGTTAAGTCCACCCAGGACTATCATAAAGTAACTTAAAACAATACATTACAAAATGAGAATTTGCTGGTTGCAGCCATCTTTCTGGAGTCTTTTCTGCCTCTGGTGCAAAGCGATGGTTATAACCTGTCTTAATCTTCTTTCCTGTGAAGCTTAGGCTGGTTATAAGCTTCTGTTGTCCTTTGGACTGGTGGTACAGTTACAGCCTGTGCTGGACGGGGTTACACTCCCCCTGAAGGCACAGGTTCACAGATTTCCCCCGGGCTCAGTCAGGCCTTTTAATGCTAATCTGTCTGAACGCATCGCCCCCCTATGAACCAGTTAGGACATTAAGATCGTCCAGGGAGGCCCTGCTCTCGATCCCGCCAGCCTCACAAGCACGGCTGGCGGGGACGAGAGACAGGGCCTTCTCAGTGGTGGCCCCTCGGCTGTGGAACGCCCTTCCCGCAGACATTAGATCGGCCCCCTCCCTACTGGCATTCAGGAGAAGAGTGAAGACCTGGCTCTTTGAACAGGCGTTTAATTAAGCAGTGCAATTGATTGATTGATCATGGAACATGGAATAATGGACAAGGAGATCGGATTATGACTTTATTGATGAGACGTGATGGATTAGTTATATGGATGTATTGATGTTATATTGATGTATTGTTATATTGATGTAGTTGCCATGTTTACTGTTTTAAATGCTAATGTTGTGCACTTTGTATACTGATTTGGTTGTAAACCGCTCTGAGTCGCCTACGGGCTGAGAGAGAGCGGTATACAAATGAAGTAAATAAATAAATAAATAAATAAATAATGAAGGTGGTCAGTTGAAACATTCACACCTAGCTCCAGCAGAGAAGAGCTCTTTGCCCCACCCCAGCCATTCCACAGATATATAAACCTATTTTCCTATTTCCAACAGACCTCACTACCTCTGAGGATGCTTGCCATAGATGCAGGCGAAACGTCAGGAGAAATGCCTCTAGAACATGGCCATATAGCCCAAAAAAACCCACAAGAACCTAGTGATTCCAGCCATGAAAGCCTTCGACAATACAGTTTTGGCTATTCCCGGAGCTCTAGACATCTTATACACAGGATATTGACTGGGAATAAATAAGATTCAATCCATAAATATCAACACTTTTCATCTGGGGCACACCCAATCTTACAAAATAAGTAATGTAAAATTATAATTCCTCGTTTTTTGTGGTCTTGCAATATGACCCTCTCCAGTTGTGGCATTCAGCCCTTGTCTCCTCCCTCTGCTTGCATTATCCTTTTGGCATTTTTACCAGTCACTCCAACTGCGTGTCCACTCCGTTTCGCCCCAGGGATTCCGTAGGCGCAGCAATTTCTGCTCTCTGCCACCTATGTTGAGCTAGGATAAGCACAAGAATATATTGTGATGTGGAATATGGTCATGGTAAGGCCGTACATTTTGATGTTTCGGGTTGAGGCTTCTCACAACAGCTATTCTGTTTTACTTTTTATTATACAGTATTTTAAGAATATATGTAGAAATATTTAACAAAATTATCTTTCAAAATTTACATTGACTATACTGCTTGTTCTACAAAAAGACGAAGAAGCTGTCAAGTAACATGGGTTACAAACCAAAGCTATGATATCTGGACTTAAAAATGGAACTGTTCTGACCTAAGAACAAACCTACAGAAACTATCTTATCCATAACTTGGGGACTGCCTGTATTTCACTGTATGGGGTGTGTTGTATATATGTATGAGGGTTGAATGAAAAGTAATGCCTCCACCTTCGTTACTTGGGTTTGGATAAGAATATTTTAATAAATCAAATGCAGAAATAATCCTTAGAATGTGCTTTATAACTACCACTATTCACTTTTCCACAAAATCACCAGACAATTGGATTCATTTCTGCCAACGATGAACAAGTTTTCTGAAGCCGTCACAGAAGAAGTCTGTTCGCTTTCATTTCAGGCGTCAGCATCCTGGGTTCCCATCATGCACAGATCTTCCAATGGCCAAGCAAAGCAATAATGTGACCCACACATTCTTGTGAAATGCTCATTATGCTTGAAATTTATCTCTGAGTGATTCTCTGTCAAGAATTCAATGACTGCAAGTTGCTTAAGTCGCATTGACTTACTGTCTGCGCAGGGTTCCATACTTCGCACTTTAACAACACAATCATTCAATGCCAAGACTTCCCACCAAAATGGAACTGTAGATGGGAGTCTACTGAACAAGCCAGTACCTGTCGTATACCAGTACTGACATCTGTTCAGGCAGGCATGTAGTGGGGGGGGGGGTGAGGGGCTTCAACCCCCCCCTGAAATTCTCAGGGTGGTCTGCGAGAAGGCCTTACTGGTACATTATTTAAACTGTTATGTTTATTCATATCATGATCTGGAGCCCCCGGTGGCGCAGTGGGTTAAACCCCTGTGCCAGCAGGACTGAAGACCGACAGGTCGCAGGTTCGAATCCGGGGAGAGGCGGATGAGCTCCCTCTATCAGCTCCAGCTCCTCATGCGGGGACATGAGAGAAGCCTCCCACAAGGATGATAAAAACATCAAATCATCCAGGCGTCCCCTGGGCAACGTCCTTGCAGACGGCCAATTCTCTCAGTTTCTCAAGTCGCTCCTGACACGACAAAAAAAAATCATGATCTGATCACTATGCTCAATATATCCCATATGTATGGGGGTATTGGGATAACGATACAAAAGGTTTGCTAGGGTAGACCCTCTTTCACCCAAATCAAACTCAGCCCCCCCCCCCCCAAATCAAACTCAGCACCCCCTGAATCAAAATCCTGGCTATGGGCTTGTACTGAGGAGTTATGAAGGTGGAGGCATTACTTTTCCTTCAACCCTCGTATCTTCAAGTAGCCTTCTCGTGACCCCAATGAATCCTTAAAGGTGGTTTTGCCAGTTCCTTTCTCTGAAATATAGCCCTATGGGATCAGGTATTTGTTGGTTGCTTTTCATACAGGTAACTAACCAAGGCTGATCCCACTTTGTTTCCAAAAATAGACAAGATCCAGTGTCATTAAAGTGTGAAATGCTAGTCTGGAAAATTTCAAGACATACCTTGTAGACCCCAGTGATGGAATAAGCATGGCGTCTCCCTAGCCCACTATCTTGATCTTTAAGTTCCTGGGGAAAACCAAAATGCTTGATTTAATTTCATTATTTTACTAACAGCATCCAGGACAGGCCTGTTTGATAAAACATCGGCTCACCACATTATCCTGCCTTACTATCACATAAGTGCCAAATATGCTACACAAATATGTTGTAGTCAACAGAGCCTTGGACAACAATTATTGGAGCCGCTGAACTCCACTGGTGACCTTGGGCAAGGCATACCTTCCCATCTTCAGAGAAGAGCAGTACTACATCTTTTCAGAACTATGCATGTCAAGAAAATCCCATGGCAGGTTTGCCCTCTAGCCACTATAACAGGCATGGGCAAACTTGGGCCCACTGGGTGTTTTGGAATTCAACTCCCACAATTCCTAAGAGCCGCGGACCCTTTCCCCCTCAGCTGCTTAGGTTAGGATCTGTGCCCCGTGCGCAGAACTGTTCAATTGCTCTTACCAGGACGCTTGCTCCCAGCAAGGATTTTTTTTCCAGTGCAAACTTGATGGTTTCAAAACGATTTGACTGAATATCACTTAGGATTATTCGTTTCCCAATTCCTCCAGTTAAATCTACAAAGGCTTCATTCAGGAATCCACCGACTATGGCATGATAGGAACCATAAAGTCTTTGCAGGAGAAGAAGGGAGAAAGCAGAAAATGAATATAAAATCGAAGCATAAAAAACTGCTCTGGGTCTCAGTTCTGAGAGGACAGTGGTGTACCAACAGAATAATAATAGCAACAACAGCTGTATCTACAATGTAGCATGAATGCAGTATGATACGCCTTTAAATAAAATAAAAGTTACTGTTGGGACACATTGTCACATTGGGACACATTGTCACAAGGAACAGGTGCAAATAACTGAAGAGATTTTGATTTAGATTAACATTTTTCAACCTGGGGTTGGGACCCTGAGGAGGTCGTGAGGAGGTGTCAGAGGGGCCGTCAAAGACCATCAGAAAACAGTATTTTCTGTTGGTCATGGGGGTTCAGTGTGGGAAGTTTGGCCCAATTCTATCATTGGTGTGGTTCAGAATGCTCTTTGATTGTAGGTGAACTATAAATCCCAGCAACTACAACTCCAAAATTTCAAGGTCTATTTTCTGCAAACTCCACCAGTGTTCACATTTTGCCATATTGAGCATTCATGCCAAGTTTGGTCCAAATCTATCATTGTTTGAGTCCACATATGACACCACAAAAAATTGGTTTAATGTACAAAAACGCAAATAATAAATGCTAGAAGTGTGAAACACAAGTGGGGACATTTTACCATACATGGTGGCCATGCCCAAAAGTTAAAAGTTATTGGAAGGTGATACAGGAAGCATGCCAAAGATTCAAATGAAGCCGGAATATTTTTTTTGTTAGGAATAATAGATGAAGATTTGGAACTGGACCAAAATAAAGACATTTTATTTATGTGTTTTAACAACCACAGCCAGAATAACACATGCAAAGAAATGGAAACAAAGTGAATTGGCAACAAAAGAAGAATGGCTGAATAAGGGTAAAGAAATAAGAGACATGGACAAATTGACTTTTTATTTAAAAGAAACAAAGGGGAAACCACCTAAGGAAACTAATTGGGAATTATTCAACGAATATTTGATGGAATAAATAGAAAAGCCAAACTGGAAGAAGGAAAATAGGAAGAGAAGCCAGGACACAGAATTTATGCTGACCAGAATAAAAAGGGACCTTTGAAGAAGGAGACTGGGGAGTCAACTCTACCCCTCCCTCCCATTACCCCCCCCCTTTTTTTTTCATCCCTATTTTTACCCTTCTGTGACTCTTTCCCCCATACCTTAGAATTATTGTTATTATTATTATCATTAATTTGGGATTTGTTCCCCTATTAAGAATCTCCCCCTAACTTTCCCAACCCATTCCTCTACTTTCCTTCCTTAACCTCACTTTTTATCTTATGATTATAGTTGTAAAAAAGCACTTAATCAAAATCTATTAACATTGTTTGTGTCCACAGTGCTCTCTGGATGTATCTGAACTACAACTCCAAAACTCAAGGTCAGTGCCCACCAAACCTTTTTAGTATTTTCTATTTGCCGTGGCAGTTCTGTGTGCCAAGTTTGGTTCAATTCCATTGTTGCTGGATTCCAGAATGCTTTTTGATGGTAGGTGAACTATAAATCCCAGCAACTACAATTTCCAAATGACAAAATCAATCTGCCCAACCTCACCAGTATTCAAATTTGTCTCTATCAGGCATTTGTGCCAAATAAGGTCCAGTGAATAAAAATACATCGTGCATATCAGATATTTACGATTCGCAATAGTAGCAAAATGACAGTTGTGAAGTAGCAACGAAAATAATGTTATGGTCGGGGGTCACCACAACATGAGGAACTGTATTAAGGGGTCGCGGCATTAGGAAGGTTGAAAAACACTGATTTAGATCATAGGGAGGATTTCAAGTTGCTTCCAAAATTTACTTTTAGGGGGCATTTTAGAGACATTCTGGCAGTAATTTACCAAATTGAATGCCAATCTCATTATTTTCCTTCAAAAAAAAAGTAATAGAAGATTAGCATGAGCCAGGTATGTAGCCGGGGGAGGGGGGGGGTGGGCTTCAGCTCCCCCCCCCCCCCGAAATTCTCATGGTGGTCCACGAGAAGGCCTTATTGGTGCATTATTTAAACTGTTATGTTTATTCATATCATGATCTGATCACCATGCTCAATATATCCCATATGGGGGTATTGGGGTAATAATACAAAAGGTTTGCTAGGGTAGAGCCTCTTTCACTCAGACTCAGCCCCCCCCCCCAAACCAAACTCAGCCCCCCCCCCAAACCAAACTCAGCCTCCCCCCGAACCAAACTCAGCCTCCCCCCGAATCAAAATCCTGGCTACGGGCCTGGCATGAGCATAAAGGAATTGGACTTAACTCACTTAGCATAAGCTTTCTCCAACAAAGGCATCCAGAAGTCATGGCTGTCATTTCCAACTGCAAAGTGCAGCTCTCCATCCAGAACAGGCAGGCGGTCATCCACTACCACATCCACCCATTTGCCATAGTGCCAGAACTGGGGAAACAGAGGAATTGAGGATATATGTCAGAGAAAGAACCTTGTGCAGGAGGTAATCTTATGGCATTTCCCTTCTCTGGAGAACTTAAGATGGCTGGAAAAGTGAACTAGGGGCCCTTCCACACAGTCCTCTATCCCAGAATATCAAGGCAGAAAACCCACATTATCTGAGTGTGGACTCAGATAAGCCAGTTCAAAGCAGATATTGTGGGATAGTACTTCCACAGTTGCAGATTTGAAGAATGCATAATTAATTCCCATGTCAGGTCCTGTCTCAGTGTCAATAGGTTTCCTGATGCACTTTATCCCATCCCTCAGTGGAGAATAACCTCATTGTTTATCCCACCCGAGTCTCTCTAAATACAGCATTTTATTCATCTACCTCACCCACGAGGTTTTAAAATTATTCATTCATCGTGCTTGGCCTAGCTCGCCCTCATCTGAATTCTTGTATTTTTTAATACTGTTTTATGATGTTATTGTTACTATCTTATTGTCTTATTATGTTACTGTATAAGCATTTTTACTTGATGTCATACATATACATATCTGTGGAATGGCTGGGGTGGGGCAAAGAGCTCTTCTCTGCTAGAGCTAGGTGTGAATGTTTCAACTGACCACCTTCATTAGCATTTGGAGGCTTGCCTGAGCCTGGGAAAATCTTTTGTTGAGAGGTGTTAAGATGTGTCTGGTTGTTTCCTCTCTGCTGTTTTGCTGTTGTAATTTTAGAGTTTTTTAATACTGATAGCCAGATTTTGTTCATTTTCATGGTCTCTTCCTTTCTGTTGAAATTGTCCACATGCTTGTGGATTTCAATGGCTTCTTTGTGTAGTCTGACATGGTGGTTGTTGGTGTGGTCCAGCATTTCTGTGTTCTCAAATAATATGCTGTGTCTAGGCTGGTTCATCAGGTGCTCTGCTATGGCTGATTTCTCTGGTTGAAGTAGAATGCAGTGCCTTTCATGTTAAAGTATTTTTGTACTACAAGTAAGATATGTGCAGTGTGCATAGGAATTCATTCATTCTTTTTTACTTATTGCAGGAGGTCCTGGAACGTCACTCCTGCAATAAGTGAGGGAACACTGTATGTGAAAGACCTATGGTCCAAGCATTGCATATTGTAACAAATTACTTAATTTATAGGAGGCTTTTTTTTTAAAAAAAAAGAGGTTTTATTGAGTGATATATAGTGCAGGCAGGTTAGTTTGAAATGTAGCCATTTGTTTAGCTGATGCGTTGCCACAGCGACGTAGGCCTCCAGGTGATGGGGAGATATTGGAAAAATAGATATTTATTTATGTATAAATTGTATGTACTTTACAAGCACTGAAATGTAAAGAAAAATCAAGTTCTCTCTGTATTAGAAAGAATGCTGAAGGAGATCTGTGTCCAAGGCATGGGAAGGAGGGGGGAACATTCCAGGGGAAAGATAAGCCCATCCTAGCACCAACAGAGATAAGTAAAAAGTAAGGAGCCAATCCCCCTCCCTCCTGACATGTCAAAATAGGCCCCTTGATTGATGAATGTAAGCTGTAAGCTGCTCTTTAGAAAGAAATACAGAGACGTGCCTTTCATGTTGGAAGATAGAATTTGATATTCCTATGATGCTAAAGTGATGCATAGAATGATGTCAATGTATGTGGAAGCATGTTTCTTTTTTGCCTGCATTTGAAGAGTATAAAAAAAGCAGTCAACGCCTTTATCGGGGCTCTGGTTGCTTTTGGACACAGCTCCACTCCAGAATCCCAGCTGGAAATAAACCCGTGCTTTTTCAGACCTCAGGAACTCTCTTTGTTGCTTTTCCTCAAACTTTCTCCCTGCCATTTCACAAGCAGAAGTAAAAGGGGTGAAGCTAACTGCTACTGGAGGAGAGAGCACAGAAAAAAAGTCAGTCTTTGGTCAGTGAGCCAAAGAGGAAAGTTGGTTCTGGTGTGCTGAGAAACCAAACCAAGGGATTTAAGTCTTTGATAGGTAGTCAAAGGGAAAAGGTGGCTCTGGGTAGTGTGAGCCGAGCCAAGTGTTTAGCCCTCAGCCTGTCTAGTTTAAAGGGTCAAGTGGACCTATTTGAAAAAGAAAGTAACTTGTCAATTACAGAAAGGAAATAACAAACCCTCGAAGTGGTCAAAGATAAGCCATCCTTAAAGGTTAATAGTTACAATTTCATGTTTCTATAGGAACTAAGAGTTAATTGTGGCACCAACAAGAAGATATTGTGTAACCATCCAGGTTGTGTGAACCTGAGTAATCTTTAAATAAATGTTTTTCTGTTCAGTTCACATACTAAGACTTGTGTCTAATTATTAAAGAGAAGATTCTCCACAAAAGAGAAGTCTGAAGATCCTGGGGAGCCGAATACAGTGGTGTGGCATTGAGCTACACATGTTAGAGAGGCACAAACAGATGTTTTAAAAGTCAAACAATTTTCAGCCATCTCTAACCAAGTTTCTCTCATAATAATCTCAGATCTCTCTCAAATACATATAGATATGGTATAAAATTACTCAGGCACACCATGCTAGTCATCCAATCTCCTCACAGCCCTGTTATACATTTGTTCATACATGTTTATTGATGGCAGTGGTGGGATAATAAAATAAAGGTCTCCCCTGTCTGAAGATTGCTGCCGGTATTTCTTGGGTTGTTTGCTACACATGTACATGTGTAAGTACAGAAACAATGAAAAGAAGATGGGTCTTGGATTTGAAAACTCTGATAGCTTGTGAAGGACAGAACTCTACCCAGACTCACCTGGAAATGAAAGATGCCTGCATAATCCCACTCTGCAAAACTTTGATTTGGAGGGACCACCCTGCACAGGAGTTCCTTATTCAAGGTGAGACATGCAGCAGCTGCCATGAACCAGCAATCACCTGTAGCAGGTGGAAGGGGGAGAAGTCACCTTTGTGCCAATGTTTTGAATAGAAAGTATTATCCAATGTATCAGTGCCAACATGAAGAATAATTCATAATTTAAGCAGCAACCTGTTGCATCAGGAGCTAGGGATCCTTCAGGGGCTCGGCTTATTTCTAACTATTATCAGATGTAGTAAACATGTACAGGTAATTCATTCACAATCTTCCCCCCTCCCTCCCCTCTTTTAAAAATGAATGCTTTCAGCTGGATACAAGTGCAAATCAATCTCAGAGTGAGGCCCCTTACACACAGCTGTATAAAATCCACATTGAACTGGATTATATGGCAGCGTGGACTCGGATAATTCAGTTTAAAACAGATAATGCAGGATTTTTTGCATTGATATTCTGGGTTATATGGCTGTGTGGAAGGGTCCTTCCACACAGACCTTTATCCCAAAATATCAAGGCAGAAAATCCCGCATTACCTGGGTGTGGACTCAAGATAACCCAGTTCAAAACAGATATTGTCATCGAACACAAGGTTCGACTTCAATATTGTGGGATTTTCTGCCTTGATATTCTGGGATATAGGGCTGTGTGGAAGGGCCCTAAGATTATGCGCACTTGTTTGGGTTTAGATACCATCGAAAATGATGGAGTTAAGTCCCTTCCACGCAGCTCTATATTCCAGAATATCAAGGCAGGAAATCCCACATTATCGGAGTGTGGACTCAGGGCCCTTCCACACAGCCCAATATCCCAGAATATCAAGGCAGAAAATCCAACAATATTTGCTTTGAGCTGGAATATATGGCCGTGTGGACTTAGATATCTCAGTTCAAAGCAGATATTCTGGGATATAGGGCTGTGTGGACGAGCCCTTCGTCTCACTGCACTTATATAGCTTGAGCCTGAACAAAACTGCAACAGTATCCAAAAGTTCTAGGCTCAGCCATCAACCCATGCATTGCCCAACTAATCAGCTTCAAGCATAACATTTTACAGTTCACACACACTGATTTCTTGCATGCTCCAACAACCAGGGGGAATTGGTTTTCCTCCTTCAACTCACCCTCCACCCCCATAAAATGGACTATCCTTCTCCGTCTGGTACACCCTAGTGACAGTCTGGATAATGGAACACTACCCAAGGGGAAAAAAAACTGCTAAACTGAAGAGTGAAAAATGAAGTCACAGGAGAGAACAGGTTGGATTTCTTCCGCCTTACCTAGACCAAACTGCCTTACATCTTGCAGAGTCATTCCTTCATTGATGAAGTGGGGCCTCCCAATAGTGACAATATCCTGTGTAAAGAAAGTTTTAAAAATATTTTTCTTCTGAAGCAACAGAAAGCTTCACACTATGGTGACATGAGGTAAGCCCCTTGGGCAACGTCTCTGTAGACAGTCTTACCTGCCATACTGATCGGCTCCTCCACTAACACGTCGCTCGTAGTAAACTCTTTTTCCTGGGATATGTTTCTGATATCTACTAATCTATTTGTAACTCACCAATGGGACAAGAGAGAAATCTCCTGGGCAACGTCTCTGTAGACAGCTTTACCTGCCATACTGATCGGCTCCTCCACTAACACTTCACTAGTAGTAAACTGTTTCTCCTGTGATCTGTTTCTGACACCTACTAATTTATTTGTAACTCACTGTTGGGACATGAGAGAAGCCCCCTGGGCAACATCTCTGTAGACAGCCTTACCTGCCATACTGATCGCCTCCTCTGCTAACATTTCACTGGTAGTAAACTGTTTCTCCTGGGATCTGTTTCTCATACCTACTAACCTGTTTGTTACCCGCCATTGGGACATGAGAGAAGCCCCCTGGGCAACGTCTCTGTAGACGACCTTACCTGCCATACTGATCGGCTCCTCCACTAACATTTCACTGGTAGTAAACTGTTTCTCCTGGGATCCGTTTCTGATACCTAGTAATCTATTTGTAACTCACTGTTGGGACATGAGAGGAGCCCCCTGGGCAACGTCTCTGTAGACAGCCTTACCTGCCATACTGATCGGCTCCTCCACTAACACGTCGCTCGTAGTAAACTCTTTTTCCTGGGATCTGTTTCTGATATCTACTAATCTATTTGTAACTCACCGATGGGACAAGAGAGAAATCCCCTGGGCAACGTCTCTGTAGACGGCCTTACCTGCCATACTGATCGGCTCCTCCACTAACACTTCACTGGTAGTAAACTGTTTTCTTGGGATCTGTTTCTCATACCTACTAATCTATTTGTAACTCACCATTGGGACATGAGAGAAGCCCCCTGGGCAACGTCTCTGTGGACGGCCAATTCTCTCACATCAGAAGTGACTTGCAGTATAGTCTCAAGTTGCTTCTGACACAATAAAAAAATTAAAAAAACTCACCCCTGGTCTCTTCCAAGATAGCTTTGAGTAGCTCCAAGTATCAGGGTTCCGGATATCGTATCCAAGTGATTGTAGAGAGGCTTCGAATTCGGGGTCTTCAAAGAGGCATTTCTTTTGGAGGCATTCTTGCTTCAGCTCCTTGTAGTTTTGCCTCTTATTGAAGGGTTGAACTTGTCCATCTTCCTTGATGGTATCAGGGCAGGAATGGAGTTGAATGGTAATGCCGTGGGTAGCCATGACTGAGTCAATCTTTGGGCTCTCTTCTTTTTTGAGGCCGTTTTATGGTGTGCCAGAACGGTGTTTATTCTGGGTGTGTACAGATGTACTTCCTTTTGGGGGGCATTCGGTCTAAGATGTTGGCCTTCCCAGTAAAAAACCCCAGCAACTTCCTCAAAAGGACATTGCCACGGATGGCGTAACATTCCAATCACAAAGTGCTAACTTTCATCACACTGAAGTTAGGCTAAAGCGGCAAAATTAGATGACAACCTCTATCGGCAGTCCAAATAAAGTGGACCCATTGAATTAAATGCTGACTCCATGCAATGCAAATGCCTACTTGGAATTGACAATTGAGATTCAGGCTGTAAGCAGATAACATTTTGCCTTCGTGAGATTTTTCAGTAACATGACCATCTAGTTTGGGCAAATTTAGGAAACATTATATACCATACCAGCTGTCCCCTGCCAGGCGTTGCTGTGGCCCAGTCTGGTGATCTGGAAAATAAAGTAATGGGAAAGTGTTGGTTTCTAATATATGTAATTTCTTTCTGCTTGTGGGTCAACAGTATTTCTTGCTGTTTCTTTGTCAGTGTTGATGTGGAGAGTGTCTGGTTTGCCTAGACTAGAACATGCAACATATAATCGTCCTTCTTCAGGGGTCCCTTTCAAACTATGATACTTTATCTGTGTGTGTATTAATCATATCTATCTATATCTATGACTGGATGGCTCTTTGTCAGGAGGGCTTTGATTATGTTTTCTTGCCCTGGTTAAGGGAGTTGGACTGGATGGCCTTGAGTATTTTATGTTGGTCATGGGGGTTCTGTGTGGGAAGTTTGGCCCAATTCTGTCATTGGTGGGATCAGAACACTCTTTGATTGTAGGTGAACTATAAATCCCAGTAACTACAAATCCCAAATGTCAAGGTCTATTTTCCCCAAACTCCTTCTGTGTTCATATTTGGGCATATGGAATATTTGAGCCAAGTTTGGTCCAGATCCATCATTGTTTGAGTCCATGGTAGTTTCTGGATGTAGGTGAACTACAACTCTCAAACTCAAGGTCAATGGTCACCAGACCCTTCTAGTGTTTTCTGTTGGTCATGGGAGTCCTGTATGGGTCAATTCTATCATGCTATTTGATTGTAGGTGAACTATAAATCCCAGCAACTACAACTCTCTATCTATCTATCTATCTATCTATCTATCTATCTATCTATCTATCTATCTATCTAATCTATGGCTGGATGGCTCTTTGTCAGGAGGACTTTGATTACATTTTCTTGCCCTGATGAAGGGAATCGGATTGGATGGCCTTAAATATTTTCTGTTGGTCATGGGGTTCTGTGTGGGAAGTTTGCCCCGATTCTGTCATTTGTGGGGTTCAGAATGCTCTTTGATTGTAGCTGAACTGTGAACCCCAGTGACTACAACTCCCAAATGTCAAGGTCTATTTCCCCCAAACTCCATCTGTGTTCATATTTGGGCGTATTGACTGCTTGTGCCAAGTTTGGTCCAGATCCATCATTGTCTGAGTCCACAGTGCTCTCTGGATGTAGGTGAACTACAACTCCCATACTCAAGATCAATGCCCACCAAACCCTTCCAGTATTTTCTGTTGGTCAAGGGAGTTCTGTGTGCCAAGTTTGGTTCAATTCCATTGTTGATGGAGTTCAGAATGCTCTTTGATTGTAGGTGAACTATAAATCCCAGCAACGACAACTCCCAAATGACAAAATCACAATTTTTGTAGTGATGGTCACTCCTTGTGTTGTGAGATGTTTTGTTGCCAAATGTGGTGTGGTTTCGTTCATTGGTTCTTTTGTTTTTAAGGTACTCATTATGCATAGAGCATTTATATAGATATAGATATAGATTTAATGCCCAAACTAGCCTAACTTCATCACAGCTAAATTATGCACTCACAAAATAGACTAACAGAGTTGGAAGAGACCTTGTGGGCCATGCAGTCCAACCCCATTCTGCCAAGAAGAAGGAGAATCACATTCAAAGCACCCTTAACAGATGGCCATCCAGCCTCTGCTTAAAAGCCTCCAAAGAAGGAGCCTCCATGACACTCTGGGGCAGAGAGTTCCACTGCTGAACAGCTCTCACAGTCAGGAAGTTCTTCCTCATGTTCAGATGGAATCTTCTTTCTTGTAGTTTCAAGCCATTGTTCCACTGTGTCCTCGTCTCCGGGGCAGCAGAAAACAAGCTGTCTTCCTCCCTCCTCCCTATGACTTTCCCTCACATAGGTATACTTGGCCCTCATCATGTCTCCTCTCAGCCTTCTCTTCTGAAGGCTAAACATGCACAGCTCTTTAAGCCCCTCCTCATAGGGTTTGTTCTCCAGACCCTTGATCATTTTGATCGTCCTCCTCTGGACACATTCCAGCTTGTTAACATCTCTCTTCAATTGTGGTGCCCAGAATTGGACACAATATTCCAGATGTGGTCTAAACAAGGCAGAATAGAAGGGTAGCATGACTTCCTTGGATCTGGACACTATACTCCTATTTATGCAGGCCAAAATCCCATGGGTCTTTTTTTGCCGCCACATCACATTGTTGGCTCATGTTTACCTTTTGTCCACAAGGATTTTAAGATCTTTTTCACATGTACTGCTCTTGAGCAAGGCTTCGTTCCCCATTCATGATAGATGAGGAAAGGCCATATCAAATTCAGGTTATTTGATCTGAACTGGATTATATGACAGTGTAGACTCAGATAATCCGGTTCAAAGGCGGACATGAGAGAAGCCTCCCTGCAGGAGGAGGCTTCTCTCATGCATACTCTGCTGCTGAGTATGCATGCCCAGTGTGGAACACATCTCACCACGCTAAAACAGTGGATATGACATGCCGCATTATCACGGGGTGTCTGCGCCCTACACCACTGGAGAAATTACACTGTTTAGCCGGTATTGCACCACCTGACATCCGCCGGGGAGTAGCAACCAATAGTGAAAGGACCAAGGCAGTGACATCTCCAGCCACCCCCCCTGTTTGGGTATCAGCCAGCACGCCAATGACTTAAATCAAGAAATAGCTTTCTTGATCTACAGAGACACTCGCTAGAACACCTCAGCAAGCAAGAGTCCAAAAGTGGCAGGCTCAAACCCAGAACCTCAATCCATGGCTGATACCAAATGAGAGACTCCCCCCTGGGCACACAGAGGACTGGGCGACTTGGAAGGCGCTGGACAGACTGCGCTCTGGCACCACGAGATGCAGAGCCAACCTTCAGAAATGGGGCTACAAAGTGGAATCCTCGACATGCGAGTGTGGAGAAGAGCAAACCACTGACCACCTGCTGCAATGCAACCTGAGCCCTGCCACATGCACAAGGGAGGACCTTCTTTATGTATTGAACTGCTTTTTCTGTTGATTTTTTGTAAAACATGATGTTTTGGTGCTTAATTTGTAAAATCATAGCATAATTTGAGGTTTAATAGGCTTTTCCTTATTCCCTCCTTATTATCTAACATTATCCAATGAGATGGTTGAACAGAAGCTCTCCGAAGCTCTAGGTGCTCTTACTGCCTATTACCGGGAAAACCAGCTGATCCCTAATCCATCTAAAACACAGACATGTGCTTTTCATCTCAAGAACAGACAAGCATCCCGAGCTCTGAGGATCACCTGGGAAGGAATCCCACTGGAGCATTGCAGCGCACCCAAATACCTGGGAGTCACCCTGGACCGTGCTCTGACCTACAAGAAGCACTGCCTGAACATCAAGTGGGTGCTAGAAACAATATCATACGAAAGCTGACTGGCACAACCTGGGGATCACAACCAGACACAGTGAAGACATCTGCCCTTGCGCTATGCTACTCTGCTGCTGAGTCTGCATGCCCAGTGTGGAACACATCTCACCACACTAAAACAGTGGATGTGGCTCTTAATGAGACATGCCGCATTATCACGGGGTGTCTGCGCCCTACACCACTGGAGAAATTACACTGTCTAGCGGTATTGCACCACCTGACATCCTCCGGGAAGTAGCAGCCAATAGTGAAAGGACCAAGGCAGTGACATCTCCAGCTCATCCCTTGTTTGGGTATCAGCCAGCATGTCAACGACTTAAATCTAGAAATAGTTTTCTAAGATCTACAGAGACACTCGCTGGAACACCTCAGCAAGCGAGAGTCCAAAAGTGGCAGGCTCAAACCCAGAACCTCAACCAATGGCTGATACCAAATGAGAGACTCCCCCCTGGGCACACAGAAGACTGGGCGACTTGGAAGGAGCTGAACAGACTGCGCTCTGGCACCACGAGATGCAGAGCCAACCTTCAGAAATGGGGCCACAAAGTGGAATCCACGACATGCGAGTGTGGAGAAGAGCAAACCACTGACCACCTGCTGCAATGCAACCTGAGCCCTGCCACATGCACAATGGAGGACCTTCTTGCAGCAACACCAGAGGCACTCCAAGTGGCCAGATACTGGTCAAAGGACATTTAATCAACTACCAAGCTTGCAAACTTTGTGTTTTGTTTGTTTGTTAAAAAATGCAATACAACTGTTTGGTTTGCTCCTGACACGATAAATAAATAATCCAATTATCATATCATTGTGGACTGCAGACTTGGGCAATGTGGGGTTGAATTCCTACAGGCTTCACATCAGCACCCGGTTCAGGGCATGGCAAAAATTCTTAGTAAACCTGCTGCCCTTCTTTGAGTTCCTTGGAAGCTTTCGTTTGTTCATGGAGTTTGTTTGAACTCCATAGAGATCACTGAAATGTGTTTACTGAAGACTAACACTGAGAATGGTGATGATAAGGACCAATGTGGATTACATGAGCGAAAAGGATCCTGGGACTCACATTGTATAGGTCTTTAGAAGTTATAACCATCGCTTTGCCCAGAAACAAACTGGAAATCGGTGGAGGGTTCTCAAAATAAACACGCTCACTCCTAGATGTTCCCATAACAATCTAGCTGCCATTCTGTTTTTTGAAGCCATAGAGAAATATGGGTGCCGTACATTTGGGTGCCATTGGTATACCA